CAAAAATGTCAGGGTAACCCGGCTGTTGTCTGCCAGCTTATTGTGTGCTAGCTTGACTAGGGGAGCGGTTGTTATTTCTTGATCAAATATTTAGGCGGTTTTGGGAACATTGAGGAGTGTCAACGGAAAAAGTAGTTGACAGAAAATAATTAAGAATTTACTTAGGTCTCTATATGTACGATAAATGGACAGTAAGTAACGAAAAATACATTTTGAAAAATGGACCCTACCTCAATGAAATGAGTTGACTGGCATATCGTCTTAACAGTTTATTTATATTATAGCTTGCGGTATCTCCCGACGAATACAAAGTTTTAAGAAGGATTTGAAGCAAATATTTGATAGATTAGTTAGTTGAATATGTTTTTAGTCCAAATATATCATCAAATCACACAGTTTGTACGCGGAAAAGTATCTTTAAGGAGAGCATGAAATCAAAGTATCAATAATAAATGATATCAATCAGGCTATGAAGTTGGTGGGACTATGAAGTTAATTTGTGTATGAACTTAATGAATGGTTTTTAATGAGGGCACGAAATAACTAATGATATTAATGGGAGCATTCGTTGGCCTAGCTATCCGATAAATCAGTGTAGGTCGACCTTGAAATAAACTAGTTAGAACACTCTTTCTTTCATTCGATTGACCCTAACGGGCTTCTCCTTATCTTGTAATTACAAGATAGTTACAAGAAAACTATCTTGTAATTTTTGGAAGACCTTGAAATAAACTAGTTAGAACACTTTTTCTTTCATGCGATTGACCCTAACGGGCTTCTCCTTATCTTGTAATTACAAGATAGTTACAAGAAAACTATATTATAATTTTTGGAAGATAGACTTATATTTCTAGTTTCGTCAAAATTGGATAAAAATTGTGACCTGTAGAGTGTCCACAAACAAATTGTGCGGACGTCCGTACGAACGGACAGGGGCGACGGCATAATACGTCCACATGAAAATGTGGGCGTATATAAAAAAAAACGTCACGCATACACCACTACTTTTGCTACTACCAAAAACAACCGCCAAACCGTGACTGAGAGGTGCATCATCGGCGAATCCGCGGCGGTCTAACCACGCTCATGTGGTTCTTACCACACGTCTTCCAAGTGTATCGAGACTGAACGTGCGTTTCTATCACGTGGTCAAGGCGACTATATAAGCTGGTCCGACTTTTGGAAATTTCAAGATGACGACATACACAATCATGATTTATGAACATGGAATCGCCTATTTCTATAGCAATTCGCACATGAAAAGCATGGTCGGTATAGGAGCGCAATGCAAACTTGGTAACCGCGCAATGGTCGTATTAAGAACACAATAAACGCAGTGCGAACCCCATAAGATCGCCATATGCGCAATGAGAGCCCCATGAAGACGTGGTGCAATCGTGCAAAAGTGGTGAAATCATCGTTACATCGCCAGGACAACGCCATAAGTCGCCGGTGCAAATATTATAATTTTCACAGCCACGATCTGGCTTATTTTTTTTTGAAAACAAATTAAAGTCGTAGCGAGGTCATGGTATATGTGTGAAGGGGGTATTAGCCATTGGATTAAAAAGCCAGTCGGGATCGTTATACTTTATTTAACTGTTTGCTATTATTTTCGGCCTTTTTACATAACGTTTAAGAACTGAATCGACGAACTTGAAATCTAAACCTTATTCTGGAAAAAAATCAATTATGGATTATGTACAGAAATACCCTTTTTTACAGCCATGTCGGAATTACCAAATAATAAACTGCTAATACATATGTAATGGGAAGATGAAGATGGTGGCATTGCAAGACTATATATACGTTGCTGAACAGTTTGTTGTAATCTGTGAAAACTCCTAGCAGGCTGTTAAAAATAATAATCACAGACAAATAAATGACAGATGTTTTTCAGCCAAGATGTAAAAACCACGGACCTATGTAAAAATATGTATCGTCTGATGAGAGTTAATTTCTATGGCACATATAAAATGGCAATTCTGGTCATTCTAAGTTTTGATTAGAAAATATGACATAAATACCCCCCTTCACTCGGCCACTCAGTGAAGCTCAGTCTGTTTTGTCATAAAGTTTGATTAAACACGTGGTAAGTTTATTAACAGCTTAGCTTCAATGAAAATCTTGGTAAAGTCTAATTTTCATCAGTTAAACTTTGTGTAATCGTGGAGGATAGGCTACTCAATTTAAGTTATAGATTTCCGGGCATTTGCGTTGGGTAATCGAGAGTCACGTGTGGGTGTTTATATTAAAGACGCATAAGCCTAGATATCTTTACCGTCATTAGATAATGGTTAAATTGTATGCAGAGGTTGAGACAAATCTGTCAAATATTAACCCATCGCTGTGATATACACTTAGAGGTTTTAATTGTCATTTTACGAGTCGTACAGAATTTACCAACGTTCGTGCAAACTACCTTACTCAAAGCCCAGCTTAACGGGAGCGGGGCCCTGGGCCTGACTAGCATCGCGGGGCCCCTAACGCGTCGAAAAGATTATTTCATATCCCTTTGAATGGCACGCATGCGTAACACACAATTAAACGATCTTTAGTACAAGAATAATCACAGAGAAGGTTGAGGGATTGCAGACTCACCCAGTCTCCACCCATTGCGCCACTAGAAGCCTAGACCGATCACCGAGTGGAACTTCACAGAGAAGGTTGAGGGATAGCCCAGTCTCCGCCCTCGCGCCGCTAAATCGATTACCGTGAAACTTTCATCTGGAATTTGAATTTTTTTCTTTTTTTGCCATGAACCGCGGGGACTCCTAAGCCGCATGGCCCTGGTCCTAGGCCCCTCAGGCCCATGCCTAAGCTGGGCTTTGACCTTACTCGAGAAAGGTCAATACTTGGATTTGGGATAATCAGACTAATCTTTAGTAAAATATGATGTTACATGTAAAAAAGTAAATACAGTTTTTTAATTGTTGGAGTGACAATGCTTCTTTAACACACTTTTCAGGTGTTCGAGGTGTTTAGTATACGTTTGCAGCTGATTTAAATACATTTTATTCTAACAATATTTTTTCAATCAATATTTAAATACATTCTCTCTTTAGAGGGTAATATTAAAATCTCGCTACGCTACGATGCAATGTAACTGTCTGTCCAATTACTATTTTAATTTGGGGACCAATTATTGTTAACTCGTCTCGGAGGAGGGTAAGGGGAGAGATTGAGTCAAGACGATATTTACGATCAGCTAATAGTTCACTTAAATTTTTAATGTTCTTATACGCATCGATACTTGCAATATAACTTACTGTAAACTTCTGGTATCCAACCCCTTTAAAAAGTTTTTTTAACATTTCATAATTTTGTAGATGACCATAATTTAATAGAGCCTCCATAGGGGTGGTTTGGTTTTAGAAATTAATAACCATATTTCTACTTTAGGTTGTGTCTGTAGTGAAGGGAGACAACTCCAAAATATAAGCTTTTTATGTCCTCAACAACTATTAAAACTATTTGACTACTCGTTTGGTGGATCAATGACTTGGGAAATCTAATTTTCAGGTGGAAAGGACTTGGAAAATAATTATTCGCCAAATAACCGCGCGTGTGATGAGCTACCGAACTATCGTATTTTTTGTTTAATTTCTAGAAAATAAGGTTAACAATGTGGCGTGCAGATTCATCAATCTATATAATAATATATCGAGGGTTTAGAACATAATTGTGATAAGTCACAATGCTTGATATATTGACTTATCACAATTATGTTCTAAACCCTATATTATAGTGGTATACTGGATTTTACATTACGTAAACTCACTTTACTTTATTTAGTTAGTGTTTAGTCGCTCGCGTTGAAAACATTTAACAGCTCAGTCTATGTTCCAATTTCGTTTGCATGTCTGATCTTTATTTTTTTGTTTGATCACAGTTTGATCCCGGTTTTCTCAAATAATCTGTATTTTCAGATGTTGACTGGTTGGTAGCTAATACAATCTTACATTATATTTTTAAAAAATTTAATCACTTAAATAGTTGTTTTTGTAAATTATGAATGACAAAATAGCTTATTTTAGGTATAAAAGTGATGGCAGACAACGTCCAAAACCAGAAGGCGGAAAATACAGCTTTGTGGGCCCATCCTGTAATCACTGTAAATACTTTACTTATAAATATTTTGACTGTACTATTAAAAAAAAAATAAAAATAAAAAAAATAAAAAATAGCAGTAGTCTTTTATCTAACTGGGAAACATGACCCAATCGCGGATCAAGTACGATCAAAAATTAACAGGGTTTGACAAAAATTTCGTAAATATTTTGAAATGTTATTTTTCTAGATTTTCCGAGATAAAAATCCTGGATAGTGCCATTCAACTGTACAGATTTTGAAAATAAAATGATTATTCATTACATTTCACGGAGCTTGTCACGTAGATTGCATATAGCCTACCCGTTGGCAGCAATCACAGTTCACCCGTATCTGTTGACCGAGGCATGATTTTGGCGCCGTAAAGGGTGGGGGTATCCACATCTCCACCTCAAATTGGCGGACTGTCAGTGTAGATCTCCACCCAACCACGGACCTGCTTTAGGCTAACTATAAGATCTAAGTTATTTTGGTTAAGAAATTTTTTTTTTTCTTTAAAAATGATTTTTTTTTTTTTTGTGGTGGGGGGGGGGGGAAATCATAGATAGGCCAAGTGACCGGACAATTTCACTTGAGTTTGAGTAGTTAAATTAGTATATCTAGGCCCTACTGTTAAAATAGTAACAGGTGATAGGATGTCCGTTTGATCTTTAGTGGTGTATCTACTTTATTTACAATTATGATTTGTGTTGTTATATTTTGATTTTAAAAAACAAACACAGGGGAGATTCTTTATTTATGAGCCATTGTCAGATTAACAAGTTAACTCAAGATAATCAAGTATTAACAGGTGCATGTTATATAAGCAACGTTGTCATAGACGCTGCTCATGCGCATTTGTCTTCAACTAAAAATGGCGGGGCTCTAAAGCTAAAGTTTTTAATCGACAGTTTGACACATTTAGTCATGTTGGTGGACAGATAATAACACGCAATCACAGAGCTCAAGGGCGTTCCATAGACGTTTACGTGTGAGTAAGTATAAGCAGACCACTTCTTTATCGCCATGTTCATTTACCGTACCGAATTTAATGAAATCTAGTTATTTTATTTTGGCTGTTATTCACATTGTTTAGTCAAGACAAAATTAAAGTGAAGTTACGATTCCATTTCCAGCAACATTGTTTCATGTCTTTGAAACATTTAATTATTTTCTAAATCATTTCATCAAATGTCATGTCGTGTTAATTACAGGTTCATGGTTTATGACATTGTTACTGACTCAGTTACTGGTAGGTTTAATGGTATGATTTTTATGAAAATAATTTTTTCAGAAATCAATCAAAAGTTATTTAAAAATTGTGGTTTTTATTAAGATTTTATGATTTTGATACATTAATTATTCATTTTTTTAAAATCAAAATTAAAGATGACCTCGACAAGAGAGAAAACAATATTTTGTATTAAAAACGCCCACATATATATAACAAGCTGAATTTAAGGATAGAATTTAATAAATAGAATACTATTATTAAGGCAGTAGATATTTAACCGTATACGGCAAAGTATCGACTTCCGCTATTTTACCGTACATCGTTTCTGATTGGCTAATTAAATTAAATTAAAATAATTAAATGGGAAATTAAATTAAAATAATTACAATAGTGTGTTCTTAATTTATTTTCAAATTTTGGGATTAATACTGATTTTTAAGATAGCCGTATACAGTCAAATAATCCAGAAACTGACACTTGATATCGTCACTATATTCCAGCCAATCAGAAACAATGTACAGTAAAATAGCGGAAGTAGATACTTTGCGTATACGGTTAAATATCCACTCGGTACTATTAATAGTAATAGTATGAAGAAAGTAGGTATAGATTTAAGTAGGGTACCGTGGGGGGGGGGGGGGGAATGGGGTGTGTTATTTTATGCATTTCATTACATTTATGTTGACTCATTGTGGGGTGGGATTGTGGATGGCACCCTAGATTTGGAACTGCCCCCTAATGGCCCTATTCACAACAAGTAGGCTAGCCTACACCAATGGTGTCATTCACAACAATTTATCAAAGCAGTTCAATTAGTTCTAGATATAGGTGTACTTGTCTCATAAATTATAAATATGGTGTAAGACATTATAATATATAGACAAGGTCATACTACAAGATGGTATTTAAATAATACAAATAGCTGACCTATTGCAGAAAGTACTGTAATACAATAGAATTGATAGTAAGTTTATATCATGTTATATTGAGGGTTTTTAATATTGCACCGAAAGTGCTGGGACCATATTCTCTCCGAAAAGAAAAAAATTCAGTACAATTTGTTTTGCAACATTGATTATTAGAAAGATAAAATTTGTGTTTCCTGTCTGTTGAGGATTGTTTTATGGCCCAAAATTCCTCAAATCTTTTAGAAGATTGGCTTTGACACAGTGAACATGACACTTTGATTATGATAAGCTTGATTAAATTTACAATGGCCCAAGCTGATTTTGTTCAATTGATTTTATATGGCTACCTCACTAAAAGATAGTGTTAGATTTTATTATTTTGTTATATTGAAATGTTATTTCCTGGTAGTTGGTTTATCTAGAAGGATATGGGCTGATAGTCTATAAGCTAACTATGTGTATAAGGTTATAATGAAAAAGAGTATAGATCATGTATAGATTGTGATAACTTGATCATGAGGTAGTGTATTGACTACCTGAAGATAGTCTATATTGACAATAGATCTGGGCTATAGTTGACTTTATTACCTGTATATTGTCTATTTTATCAGTGGATTATCATATATTGTACAAGGTCTTTCTTTAACTTGCATGATAACAGGTAAGTAGTTTTTGATAAACTCTAGTTTGAGCTTAGTTTACTGCTAATAAAGCTTATCAATATTATGGCTATTTTTATTGGATTTATTACTGTTAACAAATAACAGGTTTGAATTTATTTTACTTCATAATTTCATTTAAATTATTTTCTGAGGCAATCAAGATTTATTGACTTAAAATTAAGATAGTTGAGACAAGATTTTATTGCACTAAGAATCTGTAAAGGACATCGTACACCAAAGCAATACATTACAACGTGATACCACACAACATATTATAAATTATAATTATAAAGTGGAGAGCCTCTTTTTAAAATAGAACACAAGTAATATAATCAGTTACAGATGCCTTCCCATGTACAAACTGTGTGATATGATGATATATTAAAAATATATTCAACTAATTATATTTATCACAAGTTTGCTTCCTTATTCAATACATTTTAATCACAAGGAACTACCATAAACATCTATTTTAAATAGCCTTGTTTGCTTGCTTGATTGAGGGAGGACACATTTATGCTTGTATTTGTGATTACTTGCCGTCCTTATACCAGACATATTGAAGCATCAGTAAATTCTTAGATAATCCTCTAACAATTATTTTGTCTCCTTTATTTTGAAAGAATATGTACATGGCTAACTGATCTTGCAACTGCTAACCATTCAATCAACACATACCAAGAGCTCCCCACGTCAATCAAGCAGATAACAAGCCCACAGCCTGCCAGTTAGTGATACTATTACTGATACCCTTACATTTTTGTCCTGTGTGTGCTTTATGGGTGCGTTTTTTTAGGGAATACAGTATTTTTCTTGTAAGATTAGCCGTCTCTACTTTCCATATATACTCTTCAAAAAAAGTGGGGGATATTCAGAAACAATACAAAACTGCGGAAATGCACTGCTGTTTTTATTAGAGGTAACCAGTGTATGTTAATAACAGGCCAATTGCCTACACATGAACATAAACAGTTTATATGGGCGGCTTATCTGACGGCCCCATTTCACTTGCAAAGAGATACCCCGTCAAAAGTGAAAATGGATGTTTTTGATTTTTGTCTTAATAATGAGTAATTGCTCCACCAATCCTCAGACATTCAACAATTCGTCGTGGCATGCTCTTAATAAACCGTCCATTCACGATTTGGGGCAATCTGACCAACTCCTCTTGCAGTGCCACAGCCAATTCTTGAAGTGTTGTCCGTTGACTCAACGAACACGTCTCCCAATCAAATTTAACGTAACACACTAAAGCAAAGATACGCTAAACAGTAAATCTTATGCAAGAACCAATAGGAAAGCAAACATAGATAGATAAACCAGCAAGAGGCAGTTTTCATCAACCCTTCCTTGAAGTGTCAAATTTGACAATGGACCCCTCCCCTTGTGTATGGCACTATTGCCTGTCGCATATGCAGCTCAGTGGCTCTGTTTGGGCGATAAGTTCTTTATCTGTGAACATACTCTCAAAGCATGTCAAATGTCCATGACTATTTATCATATCACAACCTACATAGGTATTTGCATTTCAATATCCCCTACCTTTTTTGAAGAGTCATCTTGAGGATTATTTCTGTAGCTGCCTTTCACTGTTTGTGGCATACTGATGTGGATTTTATGGACGGTTTTAGTGGGCTAAAATTATAAAAGGTTGAATTTGGTTAAAAAAGGTGATTCTGAGGAAGAGCGGCCCAGAAAGAAATAACAATTTTAGTTGTATCTGACAAAATATATTCAGTGGATAGTTCGAGTTTGAGAAGTCAATGACAGTAGTGACTTTACTGGAATGGGTTTATCATTGACATCAGTGAAAAGTTGGAGCTTCTATGTATGTAGAAAATAGCATCTACATCTTACTAAAATAGTGTTGAACAATACCTATGTACCAAATTTGGTGGCATTAACTGTTATGGAGGAGCACATCTTTAAATCTGGTTGCCATGATGAAACAGTTTGTTAAAAAAAAATTCTGTAATGACCATTTTTATTGTGGTAAAAATGATACTTATTGACAGTGTACAATTTTTTTGGCATGAACCTAATCAGTGGTTTTACTCTTGCAAATTGTAGAGTAATTACAGTACCGGTAGTGGTACATTTTCACATTTTTAAAATTAATATGGGGCAAAGAAGTGATGTTTTTATGATTTAATTTCAGACACTGTAAGTAAGGAAGATGGCGACCATAACAGCAGTTCGTAAAAATACTACCACAGATTCCAATTCTGGTACCAGATGTAACAGTCCTACTAAAATACCCACCAAAATGGCAATTACTTCAGATGACAGTAAAATACTGGGTAAAATAACTATGAAACGGAAGGAAGCAACTAGTAATACAAAGTACACCACATTAAAAATGAAGACCCACAATAGTGCATGGACACCAGTTGTACATAAACCATCAAATGATCAGGTAAAGATATAATTACACATTTACCAGTAAACTAAAAAAAATGTTTTTGCAAGCTGATGTCTCTTCTTGGGTTTGACTAGGAAAGAAATATTTTTGTTATTCATAAATTATTTAATAGACACTCACATATTAAAGATACATTCCCGCATACAAACTAGGTGATTTGGTGATATATTTGGACTAAAAACATATTCAAACTAATTAATTTATCATAATTTTGCTTCAAATCCTTCCCAAAACATTGTAATTACCAAGGAATACCCCAGCTATAAAAAGTCAATCAAAAGAGGTCATGTTTGTGTCACGTGACTTACCTCTCTCCGTACCTAGCAACGGTTGCGAAGTCGGAGGGTAATTTATTGCATACACAAGACGATGTTGTCTTTAATTGCTGACTATTTATTACAAATATCGAATCCTAATTAAATTCTCGGATTATACACTGCCTGCTTCTTTTTCCGTGGTTTTTATCTCAAAAAGTGTTGTGCGTCTAACTCTTCATAATAAAGTCTAACAACATGTACATCAAGCACTCAATCTCCACGTGCAGTCTTTGAGGTCACGCATGCCGATATTCCTAATCGTCGGGCTGTCGATTTGGGGCACCCTTATTTTTGTCCTGTATATGCTCCATGGGTGTTTTTCAGGGAGTCCAGTATTTTTCTTGTAAGATTGGTCATTTCTACTTTCCATATATATATATACCAAAATTGCCATACTTTTATTGGAAATAACCACCCGATATATACTTTCTGGGAATGTATCTTTAATAAGCCACAGGGCCAAAAGTTGCCAAACTTTAAATTTAAAAACTGCACCTGTTTAAATGTTCAAGCAAATTTGGTTAAAATGAGATATTTATTTTCTTTGATCTGGTTCAAATTTGAGATTGTTGCTTTCATGGAATTTTATGTTTTGATTTATTTTGTCTGATGACAATTAGTCTTTTTGTTCAGGTATAACACAATAAACGAAAAATGCAACCAAAATTAGTAAACATACCTAATTCTGCATAATATTTCATAAGAAACATTTAGTAATATAGAATTTGCCACTTCACTAATCTAAATAATGAATCAACTTAATTCTGTACTTAATATTTTGACCTAATTTCCAGAGATGGTAACCTAACAATTGTGATCCAACATTACAAAAATCTTTTTATTTAATTGAAAGATATTGATCTGTTAAAATCTGTTTTATGAGCATTTAAGTGCTATTTTATAAACCCTATAAACAAACTAACATGTTATATATAGTAATAAGCTAGTTAATTAACCTTCAAGCTGGTTACACATATAAATGACATTTCCTATGGTTATATAGACATATTACATCACTAAAACCAATTTAGTTTGTAAAACCACATAATAATAGAGGATTATTATCGCACTGATCTACTGGAAAATCTCAAGAGGAAAATCTTATTAAATAATTCATAATCCATATTAATCTTGATTACTGATATATATATATATTGTATTGTATTCTCTCATCACTAGCTAATTAATCACATTGATTTATATATTTTTAATGACCTTTAGCTTGTCTTTGTTGTATTTACTTGTCCAAATCTAGTACTTCATGGGTCACCTTGATGATGCCCAATTTGACACTTTTAGTCTTAGTGGAAATATTGAGTTGGGATACTATTTCAATATTTTGAAAGACGATGATAAATAAATTTAATCAACTAAATAAATCATTAGCTTTTTTTGACAATTGCTGATGGCATAATTTATAATTGTACATTAAATCAGTCTGTTTAAAGTAAATATCATTTTTTTTTTTTTTTTTAAAATATAGTTTGGGTATTGTTTAATTTGTTTTCATCATCATGGCAGTTGGATCAGGAAGGGTTTCTATTTATGTAAATGAAGTGTTTGTTTAGTTATGAACAGTAGGACGTTAAACCCCAATTCATTTCATTTCTGTTTAGTCAAACTTTAAACATATGTAATTCTGGGAAATGTTTGAAACCCTGAAGGTGATTGGGCAGATATTTATAGGATCTACCTGTACATGCCATCCAAAGAATTACAAAAAATGTAACAGAATTTAGATCTGTACTATAATCAAATTGAACTGACCTTAAGTTGAATGTAGCTCAAAGATAAATCAACATAAAAAAATCATTGCATTATACAATGCTAATTATAATTGTTCATAGGGTCCATGGTTTGATTACTCATCTGCACTAACTGCCAAGTGTTCTTTTACGTGCACACCATACTACCCTCATGTTGTTATTATTTTAAACTATTCGAATATAGGAAAGTCAGCTGAAGACTACAAACATTGTAGAACATGCAGTGAATATAACACATTTGAATATTTACTTTTACTTTACAGATATTTAATGAAAGAAGAGATTTGGTCTCTCATTGGGTAAGTTACTGTAATGTTTTGAAATGTCAAGTCATCATATTTGTCTACATGATCTCAAACTCTATGCAGTTAGTCTTACTCAATCATTAAAATCACGAGATGACAACAGCAATGTCATATTGTTAAAGATCACAGATGACGCGATCACACACTTGACAATCTTAATCGGTGCATGAGTTTTGCTTATGGTACAAGGATGACATGAGATAAATGGTAAATTTCTATAACATTGGTAAAAGTTATTGCAATTAAAATGCAATCAAATATGATTATTGATCAATTTTTATTGAAATACATTCTGAAATGGAAAATGCTTGAAAAAATTATTATAGTTATACCAATTCTTATCCCATTTCGGTTTCTTTGTTTCTTTTCAGTTTGATATGTGGACAGATGCTCAAAGAAAGCGATTTTTGGATGTAATATTTCAACAGTGTAAAAGAGAACAAACTAAGTTTGTACAGAATTGGTTTCGAGAACATGTTCCTATGCAGCATTTAGACTTTACATCTGTTCTCCCAAAATTCTTGTCAGTTTATATTTTCTCTTTTTTGGATCCCAAAAGTTTAAGCCGAGCTTCACAAGTCTGTTGGCATTGGAAATTTCTTTCTGAACAGGTAACCCATTACTCATTATACATGTATCTGTTTGCGTCATAAAATAGTTTCTTATATATCCTCAAATGTTTCTTTTGGTCCTTCACAATAGATTGTCGTAGTGGGCAAGTGTTATTAATTTATATAGGGGTCCACCTGTCTTCATTCATCAAGATAGAGTAAGAAGTTAAATCTCATTTCTTTGCATTTATAGAGACCTGGGCTGTTAGAACACATCACTGGTGCAGGACCTGTATAGGTTCAAACGTCTAATGTTGATCTGTAGAAAATATTTGCCTTTTTTCAAGTAGTATCATAAAACGATAGGAGTATGAGCGGGTGACAGAGGGGTGTCTTATAGTTTTTCAGATGGGTTTGAGGTGCATTGTAAAAATTGGTAAGAAACATTGAAGATTCTTTCGTAGTTGGAATATGAGGAATGGCCTAGAGACTGAAACACCCTCCAAGACATTACACAGTTATTCATAGAGAATGAAAGTCTCAGAATTAAGTTGACAAGACCCAAACCCATTTACTGTCTGTTTCTACTCTTTTTGATTTGTGTTGTTTCAGGATGATATATGGAGAGAGAAATGTATGAAATATGGATGGTATATACCATATACACCAGCTGATAATGAATATGGAGCATGGAAAATGCATTATTTAGCTTGTGTACAAACATTAGATTATGTCAGCAGTAAAGAAGTTGTAAGTTTATGATTTTATTGTTCCTTAATTAAGTTATAATTTTCTTTCTAAAGTCTTTACCCACAGGTTTAATAATCAGAAATGTGTTAATGCTTTCACAATTTGTCAGATCGCCTATATGTATAAAAAACTGTTAGCCCTTCTGTTTCTGGCGGAAGTTGAACATTTTTGCGGTGCTTTTTCCAATAGGGTCAGTGGAGGTAGAATTTGAGAGATCTTTAAATAGACAGAGAAATGAAGTTTAACATCTTTAGCAGTTGGAGGAAACCGAAGGACCCGGAGAAAACCCCTGAGGTTAGGCAGGTCACCCTACCCCTTGTCACGTAAAAGTGGGAAATCAAAACCACACCATTCTGCTCAATGATGGACCTTATGATCTACAGCACATGCGTTAAATTATTTGGCCGCCCACCCCCTCTTTTATTAGACGTCTGCGATATTTTATATTAGATACCATGTCTTCATTGAAGGAGAATAAAGTACAATCACATGGTTTTAATACAAGTGACCGGTATTTTGTTTTGTAGTCAAATCTATATGGCACTAGAGGAGATGGTGCTGCTTTTAAGAGAACAAAAAGAAAAAATGGAAGCCAACTTTCATTGAATGGCAGTCGTAAGTCATATAAATGTTACCTAAATACAATATTTTTAAAGGGGTGGAGAAATAAGATCATCTGATCATATATTATGAAAAACACTAAAAATAACACATCCATGCCCAACAAAATGACTGGCACCACAGGGGTTGTGCCTTACAAATACTGAAAATGTGTCTGAAAATGTCTGTTACAAGTGTCTAACTTTCAGATATGTTTTAAAAATATTTGATGTTTGTGTAAGTCTTATGCAAACTTTTTGAAACGGAACCTAGTAGATTACAATGCATCTTTATCACCCAATAACACATTCTACAGTAGATATCGCTTGTGTGATAAATTTCATAATCTACTAATTAAGATATCTCCTTGGTTAATTAAAAAGGAACTACTTTTTTTTATTTTCAAAAAACAATTCATTGTTTTTATTAAAAGTAACTTTTTATACGCCCACATTTTCATGTGGACGTATATTGTCGTCGCCCACTTAGCCACACGATCCCCCGTCAAAAAACGATGTATATCACTATGTCATAATGTGATATCAGTTTCAGTTAAGTGAAATCTATAGCAAAGAATTATATTTATTTATTTGTGCATGTAAGAAAGAATTGGATGATAGATAAAATCTCTATATAACGAAAATGTTCAGAGATCAGAAATGGACAGTATTGTCAGAAATGGACAAGATAACTGAACAATAACAAGATCTTTAGTCAGTTTGTCCATTTGCAAAAAATGTCCTAAATATTTTTCTGGACTTCCTAAAATAGGTGATTCTTATTTACAGAAAGGGATATATCATCAAGACCACCATGGCAACGACCTGATTCCAAACCTAAAGATTTGCACAAATCTCATCATGCTTTCCTACAACAGTTTAACCCCAACGACCCTGGCGGCCACAAATCTCCACTTCATAATCGGTGGGGACAGTTAAAAAGAGAAGCTTCTAGTTCTACTGAATTTTTGTCTAGATCTTTAGATTTTGAAATTGGTTTAGATTCCAAACGAAGGACCACAAGACATAGGGCCCTAACAGTAAGTAATTCTAACTTATTTGGCAATGAAGGGATTAATGTATTTAATGAGAGTGGCTTGAAGACCTGGTTATCCCAAGTGTCTGTGACTAGTTTCTTTCGTATTGAACTCTTAAGACTTATTGGAGTCACGTGGCGGGCGTTTTTATTTATACTATTCGGAAACCCAGGTGGGGTTTCCATGGTTACTACTTGGCGGGGTTACTGGTGTTGGCCTCTTGACAGGGCTTGCGAATTTGTTACCAGGGTCGGTAGCTCGCTTACCTTTACTCTCCTATAAATATATATATATATATCAAACCCCTTGGGCGCCATGTGAATTACACAATATTTAACGTTTAAAAACCTAACTACTTTATGGAATCAACGACAAATGTAAACTTGGGCACTCAACCATTTTTATACGCCGACATTGCAATGTGGTCGTATATTGTCGTTACCCCCTTCGTCCGTCCATCTGTCGGTCTGGCGTCCACAATTGCTTGAGGACGCTCAAGAAGCTAAAGTTAATATTCGATTGACTTCAAATTTATACACAGTGTTTAAGGTCCTGAGACGAAGAAGCCTATTGATTTCCAGTGATTTCCGATAAGTACTGCCAGAGTTATGGCCCTTGATCACTTCAAAAAATCTTGTGGACACTCTAGAGGTCAATGTTAATATCCACCCATTTCTTGCATTTATTTGTTTGTCATCTACAGACCGCATTTCTTAGCGTATCACCTTGAAACTTTGCATACTTATTCCTTCTATTCTGGAGTTTGGAGTTAGAAGATGAGAATTTTCTGCTTAGGTAAGCAGAGATAAGCAATTTGATGGGTTGATGCTTTGGGACATGATTACTTTAGTTCTAATTAAGTGAGAGTGAGGACACATGGTGTTTAATTTTATCACATCAATTCCTTAACTAAGTTCCATAATAAGCATTTTCTGCTTAGGGTAAGCAGAGCAATAAGCAATTTGATTGGTCAAGACTTTGGAACACAATAACTCTCCTAGTTGAGGTAGAATGTTCTAACTTGGTGTAGGCGTTCATTAGGTGAATGCTTTGATGGAGTTTGATGATAAACATTGTCTGCTCACGGTAAGCAGAGATAAGCAATCTGATTGGTTGATGCTTTGGGACCAATAATTAAGTGAGAGTGATGAAACTTTGTGAGTATGGATTCATTACCTTGTCTAAGTTTGATGATGAGAATTTTCTGCTTAGGCTAAGGATCGATAAGCAATTTGATTGGTCAAGACTTTGAAACATAACAACTCTGCTTTTAATTGAGCTAGAATGGTTAAACTTGATGTTGATGTTCATTAGGTGAATGTCTTGACTGAGTTCAATGATTTACATTTCGAGCTAAAGCTAAATAGTGCTAAGCAATTTTATTGGTCGATGCTTTGGGACCAGATAACTTTGATTCTATCTGATAGAGAGTGATGAAACTTGGTGTATAGTTGATAATTGGTTTGATTGCTTGATACTTTTGAAAAAAATAAATGTGCGATTAATTAATATGTGTCATCTATTTATTTTGGGATTTCGGCGGGGGATTTCGGCGGGGGACATCAGCCTCACTGTTGGCTTGTTTTTGTTTTACAATGCTCTACCACTGAGTGTTCCAACTTTGTATTTATATTTAGCCTTATAGTCCTCTCACAGGTGTTACCTCAACACTCTTCTCTATATACTATCCCTTTATTGTTATGACAAGTAACAATGTTACAAACAAACCAAAGGCATCCTAGTTAGCAAAATTATGAACACTAGTACTTCAATCTAAATGATCAGAAGTCATACCTCTGTACAACCCAATAAGCAACTACCGACCCCCGTAACAAATTCACAAACCCCGCCAAGAGGAACTTACCTGATTGTTAAGCAGGGTTTCTATTTCAAAATTTTGATTGTCAATTATTTTTAGTTGAGGTTAACAGAAATCAGAATTGGATTCAGAATATGTTGTCAGATTCACTGCTACCATTGTACTAAAACATTAACCAATGCAGTAAATGTACCATTTATGAAAATTTCTGAGCACAGCTATAGTGTAAAAGATTTTGTACATATGTTTTGTTTATTTAGATATTTTAGGACCCAGAAGTGAATTGAAATTGCAAAAATTAAATTTTTTGAACCTGAACTTACATTTTTCAGGAATATGTGGTTTCTGGTAAGGTATCAAACAGATAAACATAATTTAAATCGAATGTATAATATGTTGTACAAATAAATATGTTAATACTTCTATTTTCACTGTTTCAGTCTGGTGAATTTGATCCAAGAAAAGGTAACAACATGACATTACGTGAAAGTTTAGATTTAGAGAACACAGATGAAATGAGACAGAGAGAACTTGTAGAAACAGGCTGGTTACCACCAAATAGAACTATACTTAAAACGTAATTTAAACACTTATGAATTAATCTTCTTGATGATTCCTATACAGGAAATTGATATTAAAAAACATCTCTCAAAAGGTGCTGTTCCTAACATTTACGAGTTTGTGCTATAGATTTCAACATTTGTTTGGTGTATTTTGAGAACATGTACATGCAAAAAACACATGCATACAAGTCAAACTGAATTGGCTTTGTATATGTATCACTCTCAAGAATCTTGTTCATTTCTTTCAGAACGCATATCTACACTAAACTCATATCTCAATAATTTTAACTTTTTTCAGGAAAGATTTATCTGGAGGTGGAAGTTATCCAATGTATAAAAATAATATCAAACGACCTGGAGCAGGAAATGTAACCAATCCAAGGGTTGTATTTATATCATCCCGTGTTCCAGCTGCTGATGTGAGTTCATTTTAATATTTATCGTCTCTTCCTTTGGAAAAGGTCTGTTTGTTCATTAAACTCCTGTTGGGGATGTCAATCATGTCATTATATCAAAGTGATTTTGTCGATTGTATATCACAGAATTATTCCCCCATTTACATTCCAATTTATGAATTCTTATGAAAGTTTTGGATGTTTTTACAAAGATTTTAGAGTAGGCGTGGAGGACTTTGCTTATCGCCGGCTTATTAGGGGACCTAATGTCATATGTTTATTTATTTGAAATCTTGACAGTTTTGATGATATTTGAATACATGTTTTTCAGCTTTTGTTAGATGCTGTAATGTTTGGTGTTATACCTATTGTATATGAATATGAAGGAACAACTATAGACACATTAGTAAATCATTTAGAACAAGTTTTAGAGGGAAAGAAAGCTCAGTAAGTTTTAATACTCATCTTTTAGTGCAGAGGCAGTTGCCATATATAATAAAACCAGTGATTGTATCCCATAAAAATTGTTTTTTGTTAAACATGTTTCTCAATAGCTAAATGTCAATTAAAGATTACAGTATGTAAAATTTATATTAGAGATTGGCTGAAAGTTACTTTTGCTTAGTTCTGCAATTTATCATAAGCCCTCTGCTGGTATCTTAGGATTGTCCAATATTAAGATATGTGGAAGTCTACTAACTGATAAATTATGTCTATAATATAGAATGTTGATTAAATGAAAATTACCAGGGAATAATTTCCGATTCACATTTGTTTATCGAGGCATGTAGTTTGCCTAATTGTTGCAAATGTGATCATTGGTTTGTTCAGTTTTGTGGGATCCTTTGTGTAGGGCATCTGTAGAGCTCGGCGATATTTCGGTTTTTTGATATAAAACCGTCACAGAAATAAAAACCGTCAAAAATACCATCTTCAAAAAACCTGACCATACCGCGATATATCGAGGTTATGATTTTTCTGGTTGAAAAACTGACTATTTTGTGTTATTTACAATATTTTATTGCTTGGTGATGAATAAATACTATTATAAACTCCCGACTGTTTTTTGCGCTTTTTTTTCTTCATGTGACTTCTCGCTCACTTTTCCACCTGACGATACCGTAAGAATTATCCCTACTTCTGTTCAATTTCTATGCATCTTGACGAATTGTTTATACTGATTTTTTGATTAAAACAGATAAGTTTTATAGTTTAATTCAGTATTATTGTATTGTAAAATGCATTTTCAAGGATGCACACGCTTGAATGAGATAGGCAAATGAATAGCATTCAATCAAACCAGTAGCAATAAAAATACTCACGGCCGAAAGAACACAATCTTTTTTTGTGGTTTTTACTTTTCTGTGCCTCCTTCATATGTAAATATTCTTGATTTAAATAAAATATCATAATTTATATATTAGAAATTAAGATTGTAATAAACAACAACATAATAAATCAAACATTGTTAGCAAGTCTTCATGGCTATATAGAATAGATCTATGTTTGTTTAAACCAGCTCATTAAGTTTTGTTTGTAAATTCAGTAGGCTACTGCATTCTAAAAACTTTAATGATATTGACTAGAAAGTGTCAAATGAATACTCCTTGGGCATTTCCTACTTTTTAAACATGTTTATTTATAATTAAAATTTTATAAACTGAAATTGACATTTTATAAACCATTGCGATATAGTGATTATATCAGTGAATATTACAATGTTTTCTGAAATAACCCAATCTATTTCAATGGATATTGCCCAGCTCTAGGCATCTGGCTTTATTGTCTATAAAAAGTTGTCTCTTCTAAAACATGGGGTTTGAAAATATTAGATGTAAAATTTAGCGATTATATTTTTCAGGAGTGTGGGAATATTTTGTCATTTTGATAAACCAGGTGAATTGTGTTTAGTACATGGCTGTACCGTTACTGCAGATAGAATGGACTATCCTGATTGTAACTTATTCTTTGAGAATGTAACTACTCACATGGTGCCAGTAAAATCAGGCGGACAGTATGACATCTTTGTGCCTTTAGCATCATCAGGTTGGTATTCATATTATGTGATTTATAATATTGTAATTTGTTATTTGAAAATAAATTAATCAGATAAAGAGATTAATGCCTTCAATTCACCATTGCCAATTTCAGTCTTCATTTAATTTCTGTTCTGTAAGAAAAGAAATAAGGCGAGGGGTCAACATTGGCCTAGCCTGTTTCCCAATCCTGTTTTAAATAGAGTAAAATATTGTTTATAAAAAAAGAAATAAAGAAGTATTTTACTAGTTACGATGTGCATCATTGATGCAGATTTCTTGTATAGCAGAAAAAGTTTGAAAAATGCAGTACTTATCTTTATTGAAATGAAAGGGGTTAAACATCCTACTGTTATGCTCCAACTGTGCTTATGAAGAACAGCTGTGAGGGAAATTTTGCCCAGACATTGGCATTTCCGCTTCTCTCCTACGACTTTCAGCTATCAACAGTTCTTGTACTGCCATCCGAACAACTAAACACCGTTTCCTTGTCTGAGCCTCATCCTGCACCACTGACAAGGGGATATCAGACTGGAAAATCCAGAGGAACTTACTTTACTGTTATGTTTTGCTACAGAATTTTATAAACAACATAAAAACTTTTGATTTCTCACTTTTAATTTCATCACATAAATCTAGACTGTATATTTCTCACTGTAATTTGTAAACTAGAGTTTGTAATGCTTGTTTTCTGTAAATTTTCTCATCACTATTTGTAAATTCTTATCACTATTTGTAAATATTCTCATCTCTGTTATTGTAGAAAATGGTATAGAAGTTTTAAACCAGTTGTCCACATTGACTGGTTTCAAGTTTTCATCACCAACAGGTCTAATTGGATCTTATAATCATAGTAAGTTAATTGATACAAGTCTTGTGTAATTCACAATAGTAAGAACTTTTGGGACCTGACATAATACACAGACTTAGAAATTTTGTATCGGTATTTAGTGAAGTGCACCAAGATATTTGTTGGTTAGCAAATTGCTAAACAGTTTCAGACACCATCTTCTGAGCAAATTTGTCCCTGGAGATCTCCAATGATGTTGTGTGTATCTTTGGCAAATTTGCCTGTTATCTTTCAATGAAGCCAGCTGTAAAAAAATATAAATTTGAATGATTACTATGGCTATAATTACATATTTAGCCAACTATTTTGTCGCAAAGATAACACTATTAAGCATTAGACATCGACTTTGCTATTGTTTGATTTTAATTTCAATATTTAAGACTAACATAATTCTTCAATCAATTTTTCTGTTCTAGTTAACACAGAATGGTCATCACCATATTCAGATGGTTCTCCACCATCCAAATATTTCTGTACAAGTAAATTAAACGTTTGGTCAAATGTTGCTGATCAAGCCCAAGAAGCCCTAACCAGATGCAGAAAGATCATGGAACCATTCTTCAGTAAATTACAGAAGAACATTGCTGGGCAATTGGCAGGGCAACTTGTGTTTGATGTTTTAGGCCAGTCAGATATCCATGGTGTTCATAGTATTACAGCTACATTAACAGATGGACTCAAATCTTTAGGAGAACAGACAAATGTAATATTTTTATAATTCATTTTCTCTGTATACTATGTCCGGAATGTCTCACTATCCATAGCCTTTTATAAAGTTACTTGAGATTCAGAATGATGAGACTCAGAACTTTTGAAGATTTTGATAATTCCCTGAATCCACATTATTGCACATTATAATTTATTACCTTTCCAAGGATGTTTCCCTGGGGACTGTTTCACGAAATTTTAACTAAGATAAAATCCAAATTTTAGTAATTTGATTGGATAATATTAGATTGATGCTTAGCCAATCAAAATTGAAGTGTCTACTAAAATTTGGACTTTATCTTTAGTTAAGATTTCGAGAAACAGGGCCCAGATCTTTCTACGACTTGTATGTTGGATGTTATGTCCAAAAACAATACCACCCATTAATATTGTGCGTCTGCTCGAAGTTTAGAAATGTTGATACATGGTATTGTGAGAACAGCATTGAATAGATAAGTTGTAGATGTGTTTTTGGATTTCTCAATTACCTAATAAACCAGCCGCTGCCAGGTAGGTTACGCCCACATTTTGCAAGAGATGGATAGAGAATAAGCTAAACAAAAAGCGATTTTTTGTAACATCAAGGGCCAGATCCGATTTTGATCAAACTTGACATACATGTTTATAACCCAAAGATCTTGGTTCCTGTTGATATTCTCGCATATCAGATCTTAACTTCCTAAATTATGGCCCTTGATTGTACAAAAAGTTGCGTTTTTAGCTTGTGGTCTCTCTAGAGGTCACAATTTTTATCCGATTGAAAAAAAGGTTGAATCGGACCAAAACTGCCTTACAAAATGGCCGCCCCTGGTACGCAAATAGTGTAATATATGGTATATCAAGAGAGGTCACAATTTTCATCCAATTTTGATGAAACTTGGAATGCATGTTTATACCTCAAAGATCTTGGTTCCTTTCAATATTCATGCATATTCATGCATAACTTCCTGAATTATGGCACTTGATTGTACGAAAAATCACGTTTTTAGCTTGTTGTTCATCTAGAGGTCACAATTTTTATCCGATTTACAAAAGCGTTTTTGTATATCACTGTTACCCTAATGATGGTTGAGTTCAAATTTCGTGAAAATCGGACCAAAACTGCCAGACAAAATGGCCGCCCCAAGTACACAAATACAGTGGACTCTGTCACATCTGACATCGTACGGGATCATTACAATATTTCGGATCACACAGCATGTCGGAATACGAGCTTTCTCCAAAACCAGAAATACTGTAACTTCGAAAACTGGAAGTATTTTTATATTGTAGCTTCGAATCACCAGAATGCTATTCCCTTTAAAAATGGTAAACCTTTCTGTACTTTCAAAATTTTATTACATTAAATAATTAACAATGACAATGCATGCGTACAATATATTCATAAAATCATTTACATGTAATATCAATGCATGCGTACAATATATTTATACATATCAATGCATGTAATATGTCTGACACTGTATCTCGGCCAATTGAATACTTAACGGCTAATTCCTTCTGCGCAGGTCGTGGAACTTTCTCGAAATCTGCTAGAAATTTGCCACTTTACATCTAATGTCAAATCTGTTCGGGCACGCTTTGCAGGATGTTCAGACATTTTGAATACAATAATGTATAATGATTCTTCAATTGTGGCAATTTTTATATAATGTCGCGGTATTTGACATGAGTAACTAAAATCAAATACCAAGCGCACTCTTACAAGAGGTTATAAATTGTAAAATTATCGACAAAGAATTTATAACATTATCGAAGTAATCAACACAGACCGGCGCTTGCAAGTTTTAATCTCACCGATAATTGATTGGTGATTGCTTGTTAATCTTTTCTGGCTTCACACCCATTGAGTTTTAATCTCACCGATAATTGGATGCTTCACACCCACCGTTTGAAGTACGGATTATCCGGTGCCGATTCAATGGAAATTATGTGACGGGACGGCTGATTGATGTCGTAATCCGGAACATACAGAATCCGGATTTACCAGCGATTTTTTGGCTGAAGTAATAAGGAAGTAAATCGGGACATGAAAATCATGTCGGATGTCACAGCAATCCGGAGTGATCAGACATCGGATGTGACAGAGTCCACTGCAGTGTAAACATCTGGTATATCAAGGTTGTGGACCTGGTATATCAAGGTTGCGCTTATCGGATCGGAACTTCCTGAATTATGGCCCTTGATTGTACGAAAAATCGCGTTTTGAGCTTGTGGTCCCTGTAGATGTCACAATTTTTATCCGATTTAAAAAAACGTTTGAATATATCACCATTACACCCTTTATTTTGGTTCAGATCGAATGTCGTGAAAATTGGACCAAAACTGCCAGACAAAATAGTCGCCCCTTGTACTCAGATAGTGTAAAAATGTGGTATATCAAGGTTCTGAACTGTAGAGGCCACAGTTTTTATCCGATTTTGATGAAACTTTATGTTTTTATCATAAAGATGTTGATTCCTTTTGATAATCACACATATCTGAACATAACTTCCAGGATTATGGCCCTGATTGGTCGAAAAATTGCACTTTTAGCTTGTTGCTTCTCTAAAGGTCACATTTTTTTCGAATTTTAAAAGCTGTTTAGATATATCACCATTCCGCCATAATGAAGGTTGAATTGGAATTTTGGGGAAAATCGAAATGAAACTGCCCGACAAAATGGCCGCGTATAGGCTAAGTATGTAATACAAAGGTTATGGACCCTCTAGAGGTAACAATTTTTATCCAATTTTGATGAAACTTAAAACATATCTTTATATTCCAAAAATCTCAGTCCCTTTTGATATTTGCGCATTTCAAACCATAACTTTATGGATTATAGCCCCTGATTGTACAAAAAATCGTTTTTGTTTTTAGCTTGTTCTCGATCCATTTCTTGCAAAATGTGGGCTTATCCTGCCTTGCAGCCGCTGTTTTTTTTTTCCTTTCAGTGTAATCAATATTTCTCTGTTTTTCGTTCCTGCAAAATCAGCTGAATATCTGTCATTTGTTATTCTAACTTAGAATTTACATTTTCTTACATTAATTGAATGTCTTAAATCCTAAAGACAATAAGTATTCGGACTAGTATAACTAAAAATTTAGACTTCATATGATAAGGATGTTTTTTATTTTTCATTCATTAAAGTTCTAGGAGAAGAATATCGACGTTTAAGTTTACGGGTACCTACCTTTTTTAATGAATTATTTTAATTTTATTTTTAGGTAAAACCATTGGAATATTTAGGGAATTATGTTTTAGATAGATGTGAGACCATGGATGAAATGAGACAGTCAATGGTTAAAACTGATCAGGTAAGACCTGTATTGATTATTAATTAGTTTCCCATAAACATTATTTAACATAACACAGGGCCTAGCCCACCACAGATATGTCCATGTTGTTATGAACACAACACTCAGCTTAAAACTTACAAAGATATTGGTGGGTATATATATACCGAGTATTTGTTGTCTGGTAACACCATATTAAAATATAGAATTCTGTGCACACCATATCTATTATGAAGATAAACAGAATTGTAGCAAAACTCATTCATTGAAATGTTTTTATTTGTAGAATGGGGGAATGCAGATAACAACACTAGAGGATGGGGATAATGAAATTGTTAACGATAAAGATACAACAGATTATACAGATAATAGAGGTGATTGGAGTGATTATGAAGATAAAGGTAAAATTTAAACATACTGAAAAAATTAAAAAGAAGACATTGAAGGAATTTACAGTTTAAAGTTAAAAAAATTCATATAAAATTGGTTTCATTCACAAAATTTAGCATGAACTCGATTATAAACAGAAAATATATTGTTCCCATTCGTTAGGAGAAACAATTTTTCAGACAAAAATAAGATGTGGGAAATTCAAAGAAAATAGAAAATAATATCAAAGTTTAAAACGTTCTCTAAATCGATTATCAGGAAGTGTTGTATATTTTCAAAGTGTTATCGATATAAATAATTGGAATTGTAAATATTATTCTATTTGATAAATATTTTTCAGATAAGAATACAGGTGAAGTAAAATATGGTCCTAGCAGACATCCTAAAGACGCGAGACAGGCGTTTACCAGTACATATAATCTTAATACCAGGAAAAGTCAAATTGCAACGACTCGAGCCAACAAGTCTCAAAGATTGGTAGGATTTAATCTTACTTTCGATTTTTAACGACAGATAAAATTATATTGTTTATAGTCTGTGATCAGATCAGAGGTTAATATCGCAGTCTGTTGACTTTAAACATCAATATTATTGCAAAACCCTAGTGTAACATGTTTCCTGGAATCAGAAGGGTATTAACACATAAAGCTTTCTTCAACTTCTGTACCAATAGATAATTTCTTGAGAATTGGGAATTCTGTATGACTGATAGAATCAGCTTCAGAAATTTCCAGGTCATGTCTACTAATTGTTTATGTCTGCTAATAAGTTTTTTTTACATAATATCCAGTTATTAATTAATGATGACAGTATGTAATTGGTTATTTTTAGACCAGTGAACAGTATGCATGTCATCCAGAGAAAAGAACACCAGTTGCATATGAGATTTTAACAAGTGAAACAGAGTATAACCGAACATTGAAGGCTACCAAAGATATATTTTATAAACCTTTAAAATTAGCTCTGGAATCAAACAGGTAAACTAATTAAGCAATACAAGCATTAACATTACAACCTCTGTATTTGCAAAAGCTTGAAGAAATACAATTAACTTTAAACTATAAATTAACATAAGAATTGAGCATGTCCTATATAGTACAGTAACTATGGTGCTAATAACCGAATCTAAGCGCCAGTATCAAGAAGCCCAGATAAAGTGGGCAAATGATAGTACTGATCAACATTTTAGTTTTCTCTTTAAAATATCCTTATCATATGTATTTTGTATTTCAGAGCTATTATAAGTGCATCAAATGTACAGACCATTTTTAATGATTTATTGTCTATTTATGAAGTCAGCAAGTAAGTACTTTCATGTATATATTGTTCATTGTTATTGTCTTTTTGAGGGGGGGGGGGTGGCCGAATGGTTAACACGTGCGCACTGCATCATAAGGTCTGTCATTATGTCAACAGGCGTGGTCTCGAATCCCCAGTTGTACATGACAAGGAGTAGGGTTGCCTGTCCAACCTCATGGGTTTTCTCCTGGTCCTTAGGTTTCCTCCCACTGCTAAAGACCCCTACGCGCAAGCAAATTGTTGAAATAAAATTGAACCATGTGTAATTAGTCCTGAAATGACTTAGTTTGTGTCAAGTGGATGTTAAACCCCATCTATCTCTCTCCCTCTCCCTCTTTCTCTCTCTCTCTCTCTTTTGAAAGATAAAGTGAAAATTGACCAGAAGTGTACCACAGTCTGAAAATAGTTGTCTCCCTTCGCTCAGTATTAGTAACAAATGTCCAATTCTGCTGTTGCCCATACCAGCTAGTCACCTTTTGTGATGTATTAATATTATTTTTAAGCCATTAATATTAGTTACAAAGGATTGAAATAGCCCTAATATATAATTTCCGATAACATTTAACAAATATTATAGATTGTTATATTAGATTAATTGATAAACAACTTTGTGTAATATTTCAGAGAACTGACAGAGAATTTAAAGAATCGCATGGAAAGTTGGAATGCTCAGCATAGTTGCCTGGGTGATATCTTCATCAAATTCTGTACTCATCTTAGACCTTATAGTAATTTTATCAACAATTATCAAGTTATTTTAACCACTATAGAGAAATGCCGTGAACAGTCCTCATCATTTCGCAACTTTCTACTCCTTCATCAACGACTTCCACAAACAAGAATGTTAAGGTTGGTAGGCATTTAAAAAATTGATGGTTTTGTGAGTTGATATTTATGTGCAGTATGTTGTCAGGTTTTATACTATTAATTATCCACAGATGATAAACTGTATGTCTAACGTTCATGATAAGGCCACAAAAGAAAAATATTCCGTTTCTCAGATAACACCGCGTCATCAACAATGGGTTGCATCACCCATTTTTATTTTTTAAAAGATAAAAATATGAAAATAGTTAATTAATTCTGCATTGTCGTATTTCCCGTGATGAATGTTTCTTGAAAAAAGAAGAATTGAACACTAGACTCGGCTATCAGGTATGTAACCATGAGAAAACTACCGGGTATTGACAATCACAAACGACATTGGATAATCGAATGGTTAGCACTGTATCATAAGGTCTGTCATTGAGTCAACTGGCAGGGTTTCGATTCCTCCGGTTGTACATGACAAGGAGTAGGGTCGCCTGTTCAATCTCATGGGTTTTCTCCCACTGCTAAAGACCGCTATGCGCAAGCAAATTATTGAAATAAAATTGAACCATGAGTTAGTCCCGAAATGACCTAGCTTGTGTCGAGTGGACATTAAACCCCATTTCTCTCTCTCGGATTATGGCCCCTGATTGTACAAAAAATCACATTTTGAGCTTGTGGATTTTAAAAACTATTCCAAATTTTCACCATAATGGTGGTTGAGTTTCAATTTTGTGAAAATCGGACTGAAACTGACTGACAAAGTATGTAATACCAAGGTTGTGGGCCCTCTAGAGCTCACAATTTTTATCCAATTTTGATGAAACTTGATATAATATGTTCCTTTTGATATTTGTGCATATCTGACCATAGCTTCCTGGATTATGGCCCCCGATTGTATGGAAAATCACGTTTTTAGCTTGTCACAATTTGGATCTGATTTTAAAAACTGTTTAAATATATCACTGTTACATATTGTATTTCGTGAAAATCAGACCGAAACTTGTTGTCAAAATAGACTCTCCCCATACTCGAAGCATGTAATACCAAGGTTGTGGACCCTCAAGAGGTTACGACTTTTATCCAATTTTGACAAAACTTGCAATATAGGTGTATATCATAAAGATCTTGGTTCCTATTGGTATTGCCATGTATTGGACTGTAACTTCATGGATTGTGACCCCTGATTGTACGAAAAATCATGTCATTAGCTTGTGGATACTTTACCGATTACAATTTTGTTTTGATTTTGATGAAAATTAAAATGTATGTTAATATCCCAAAGATCTCTGTTCCTTTTGATATTGACACATGTCGGACTGTAACATCCTGGATTATGGCCCCTTATAGTATGCTGTTTTAGCTTATTCTCTGTTCAACTCTTGAAAAATATTGGCATATCTTGCATGGCAACCGATTGTTATTTGATATTAAAAAAAAGTTCATATATATTACCGTTGCACCATAATTATGGGTAAGTTCGAATTTCATGTAAATCGGACCCAAAATGACCGATCCCTGTATGTAAATAGTGTTAAAGTATATAATACCAAGGTTGTGGACCCTCCAGAAGTCACAAATTTTGTCTGATTGTGATAAAACTAAAAATATATGTTTATATCCTAATGATCTCAGTTTCATTTGATATTGACGCATGTCGGACCGTAACATCCTGGATTATGGTCCGTTAGTCACTCTTTGCTTGTTCTCTGTCCATCTCTTGCAAAATGTGGGCATATATTGCATGACAACTGCTTGTTCATTTCATTTTGCATCCATACAATGTATGGAATTGTTTAATTTCAGTTTACAAGAGTTATTATTACTACCAGCTAGACGTATAGAAGAATATGTTAAATTATTAACATGGTTTGAAGTACAAACACCACAACATCATGCTGATAGAGAAGATTTAGATAATGTTCTTACTACATTAAAGGAACTTAACGAAGATATTAATCAGGTACAATTCGAGATGGTTAATTTGTCCATAGCAAATCAACTCTCCCTGTTTCAAAACTTTTGAATTTTAAACGTTACTTCTTGAGTTTGTACTCTTGACTGTGTCATCAAATCTTATCAATCCTCCAATATTTTACAATATTATAATGCTTTTGTTGGTTTTTACATGCAATCATAATGCAACAACTTTATAGACTGCTTGAATAACTTCGCTGGATTTTTTTTTGGGTGGGCGGGGGGATTGGAGAATAAGGAAGTACCCTATCAAAATTTATAATTTTACAATCCCAAATCATAGTTATCCTACAGTATACATTCAAATTTATAAAATCGTGTGAACCTGTTATAATACAGAATTCTCAACAAAATATTTTAAAACTTTGTGAAGTTGGTAATATTGGCATGGAGGAACCTATTAGATTTGAAAATTGGATTCTTTAAAACTTGCTCAGCAGTATTTTGTAACATTGATTTTAGAGCTAGCATTTGCTGCTGATGGGTAGGGGACCCTACAAGCAAGCTCCTGTCTATCTTATAATATGTGTATTATATTTTATGTGATGTGTGTTTTTATTTTGTTTAATAATAAATTGTACTACTTTTCTTAGTGTAAGAAAAGAATTGAGAGAGAAAGAGAACTAGTCAAATTACAGAGAAATATAGTCAACTGTCCTGTAAGTACTTTATGAAATTAGAGACACTCTGATAGTATGGTTTGAGTTCATATTTAAACATGTTTCGTCATTTATTGGGAGGTTTATTGTCCTTGTCCTTTTTTATATATGAAATCTTATAGGTATGTTTTCGGTCTCCAATTAGTAAAAAATTGATACACAAATTTTCTTATTTGAATTGTGCTTGTATATTAGGAGGTGGACACTTTGAGAATTTATAGCTTTTGTTGGTCACAAATATTCTGGAATGTTTTCCCGTCAAATTAACACTGGCATAATAGGCATAAAATTTTCAACAAAAACAGATTGTCATCCAACAAAATAAATCATATGCAAAATCCATTGAAATTTAATTTTTACTTTGGCTTATAATAAAACCTTAAATGTCCACTTTTACAAAACAAAGACTATACCTTTATTCACACTCAATAAATAAATATAAACCGAATGAAGAATTAAGTTTCTTTCTTTATTTTTTTTTTATTATATTCTGACTGTTATTTAATTATTTCAGGCTTTATTTGAAGCTAATCGTTATTTGATTAAACATTTAGATGTTTCCCATCTTCGTCCACCAACAGAATCAGAAGTACCAGAACTGAGGTAAAATAAACTTAATAGTTTTTCTTTTGCCATATTTTCCAGGGTTGACATCATTTGCTAAATAACTTTCACACTGCAAAGTAAATTAAGCCATATTTCTTTCACCTTATTACACTATTCCAATATTCGTCGACATATAGCATTTAAATTTATATTTAAAAACATCTTCCCAACCCACCTATATATTCATAAAGTCTGGAAAATGCCATCAAAATAGAATCTTTCTTCCCACATTGTCCTGCTGCGATTTTTATCTATAGTGTTACATCAATTCAATGATGGATACTACATTATTCGGAATTAAAGACTTAAATATCTTGAGAATATACAACATTATATAAATACGTTATTCTAAATGTCATGGTGATATACTACAATTTTCTAAATTAAATACTAAAATGTCATAGTGATATACCAAATTATTTTAAATTGAATACTAAAATAATGGTGCTATACTAAAATTTTCTAGATTAAATATTAAAATATCATAGTGATAAACTACATTATTTTTAATTAAATACTAAAATATCATGGTGATAAACTAACACTTTCTTAATTTAATTACTAAAATACCATGATGGTTTAATAAATAACACAAATAAAATAAGGTTTTTTCTCGGCATTGCCCCACCGGTCTCGATGAAAAAAACCCAAAACATGTGCCTACTTAATCTACGTGATTACCTTGTGAGGACTCTGTTGTTGGACATTTAAATCTCCTTGAAGTCAGTCAAAAGTAGTTATATCCTGATAGTATATAACACCCATATCAATGGACAGTAATTATAACCTTCAAAATACTTCAATCCTTATCTGCTGCTCAGTCCTCTACCAAGCATGAGTGTGACTGCTGGTTCTACTTGAGTTCTGTGCCGTCACACAATAATTTTTATCTGTAACCATTTTCTTCCATGAAAATTGGCACATATGTTTCCAGAGAAATAGCTGTAAAAGGTCCTGTACACCAATAACAGATATGATAATATGGCTTTTTACTAGTGATTAAACTACCAATGTAATCTTAAAATACCATTTTCATACACCCATATTTTCATGTGGACGTATATTGTCATCGCCCCTGTCCGTCAGTCCGTATGTCTGCTTGTCCGTCCTGAATTTGTTTGTGGACATTCTACAGGTCACAATTATTATCCGATTTTGAAGAAACTTTAAATATAGGTTTATCTCCAAAATATATAGGTTTATGATCCGATTTTGATGAAACTTGAAATATATGTTTATAACCCAAAGACCTTGGTTCCTTTCGATATTCATGCATATCGGACCACAACTTCCTGGATTATGGCCCCTGCAGGAAACATACAATATAAAAACATATTTTCATAAATTTTCATCATTTCTCATAAAATTATCATAAAATGGAAGAAAATTCTTAAAAAAATATTAAATTTCACTATTTTTCATCAAATGAGACGAAAAGATTTTAAAATATAAAATTAACCATAAATAGCTACTCCCAGTAATAAATTTCTGTACTAATAAATCTGGATGTGAATAAGAAAACTATCCAGGCATTTCATGACCCCAAGATTGCTACTCTCTTTCATTTGCTATTTGACAGTGTTCAGTCATTGTTATAATAATAATAATAATAATAATAATGTACATTTATATAGCGCTTAATCCATCCATGAGCATGCTCTAAGCGCTGTAAGTTAATGGCTTCTGTGGATAATACATCGTGAACATATGCGTCTTAAGTCTAGATCGAAATTGAGCAACTGTTTCTGAACACTTTATTTTGTCAGGTAAGTCATTCCATAGTCGTGGACCATATACACTGAAGGCTTTATCACCAAAAGATTTTAATTTAGTGGATATATGAATACAGGGCTGGTGGGGTTGGGGAGCATATGCCCAGGGCATACCTAAGTGCATACCAGAAATATTTAAAATTGGACCCTTTGAATGTTTATGGACTAGCCTCCTTGGAGTCTTGAGATAGCAGATCATGGGCCTTCACTTCCCCTAAACCTGTGTAAACCAGTTCATATTTCAGCAGTGTCTAAGATTGATATTCAGTACAACAGACTAATTAATTACACAACACTGCTGGGGAAAGTAAACAGATATAGACCCAACACTCATTTATCTAATCTAGACAGACCATTTTAAACTTTACAACAAATTATCTTAGTGCATACCAGAAATATTTAAAATACTTCTTGGGATGGCGGGGGTGGGGTTGCTGGTGAGTGGGCAAATTATCTAAGTGCATACCAGAAATACTCAAGGGGGACCTTTTGAATATTTATGGACTATCCTTCACTTCCCCATAAACCTGTGCAAACCAGTTCATATTTCAGCAAATAGAGGGGGTAGGATTATCATTTTTGCAAGATATAGGGTTTTTCGATCTACTGGAGAGTTGAGGGGAAATAAATTTTACATATAGTTATTTAGATAAAGTCTTAAATGTATAAAAGATAGGTTTCCAGGAAATGAAACATACGTCCACAGCAGCTAAGTTGTCCGGGGAGTCTACAAACAACAAGGGTCATTGCATATTTTTTTCTTTTGTCTGAAATGAAAACATTTACAACACACTAAAATCTGATTACAAGTACCAATCCAACTTTTGTCCTGGGGTGCCACGTAGGCTTGTTAGGCCCTGTATGAACATAGGAGAAGATGATTGAGACCATTATTACAACCACTGCTACTGGTGGAACGTTCTTATCCACATAACACTGGCTGAACACTACTTCATGGACCGGAGATAAGTTATTTACTGTCAGAGCAGTTATATAAAGGAAAAAAAAACGACATAATATTTGATAATGATAAAAACATAAAAAGTTATGAAATGTGATAAAAACATTATAAAAATATCATAAAATTTTAAAGAAATATCATAAAATTTTATAAGAATATCATAAAATTTTATAAAAATATCATAAAATTACACTGGAAGCTTTCATTAAAAATATAAATTTTTGATAAAAACCTTGTGTATGGTCTCTGCCCCTGATTGTTAAGTATGGTATATCGAGGTTGTGGACCTCGGGGCGTATCTTGCATGGCAACCACTTGTTTAAAGAAGAAAACAATGCTTAGATGTCATGAACTATTCAGTCACGAACGTTTTGATTTTGTTTTCTATTGTACAAAGGCAGGTAATTATTGAGGAATATTTTTGACTTGAACTTGGAATTAAATATGAAAAATAGCAAGGACCACCTAAATTTTTGTACTAATCATAAACATTATTCATAAAACAATGTGCTACGTATAACATAACATAAGAGCTAGTGAAATTCTAGTTGAAGTCGATTAAAAGGAATGTAAACAACCCACGCTTATGTGCATGCTTAACGGAAGTTGTGGTCTCGCACCTAATTCAAAATTTACTTAGCTATAGGGATGACTTTTATTGTATTTACATATAATACGTCTACACATGACCACATAATATGTACCAATTTCAGTCAGTGTTCAGTGCTTGAGTAGACTTGATTTTGGGGTTTATGTTCTAAGTATATGTAGGCTACAATAAATGAAGGCAGAACCATAGACAAGTGATCACTTTCTATAATGCTCTTTTCTAAATAAAAAAACAAAAAAACTTGGACCCCCGCCCATACAATTTCCAGCAATAGCCAAATTTTGTTTTGCACCATCCTCTAGCCAGCAATGAGGTAAAAAATAAAAATAAATAAAAAGAAGCTACCCTACCCTCCGACATTTTCAACTGTCAGTTGCCTGAGAAACAAGACATTTATTTTATGTGGCCATACATAGTTCTGAATTAAATACTAAGATATCTTGATGATGTACAGTTCTAAATTAAATACTGAAATATCTTGATGGTATAATACATAGTTCTGAATTAAATACTAACATATCTTGATGGTACACAAGAATATTCAGATTTAAAGAACACTGTTGTAGAGAATAAAATGTCAGATACTTGCTACTGTAGTGAATCTTTTTGTTGTGAAAAATAGAGTGATTTCCCTTCAACTGCATTATTGTTAAAATTGACTACTGGGCAACAATTGAATAGTCTATGCCCTTACAAAATGAAACATAATGACATTGCATATTATATACATTGATTAAGGTATTTGTGGGGGTATATTTATGGGTTTTTGGAAAGTTAAATCAACACAGTCTGCTCATAATTGAATTTAACAACAGCACATCAATTGGTTGTTTCTTAATAAATGCTAGGTACAGGATACGTCCTATATGGATTGGTAAAAGTATGAATGCGCATAAATCATATATATACTCTTCAAAAAAAAAGTAGGGGATATTCAGAAACAATACAAAACAAAACTGCGGAAATACACTGCTGTTTTATTAGAGGTAACCAGTGTATGTTAATAACAGGCCAATTGCCTACACATGAACATAAACAGTTCATATGGGTGGCTTATCTGACGGCCCCATTTCACTCACAAAGAGATACACCGTCAAAAGTGAAAATGGACGTTTTTGATTTTTGTCTTAATAATGAGTAATTGCTCCACAAATCCTCAGACATTCAGCAATTCGCTGTGGCATGCTCTTAATCAACCGTCCAATCACGAATTGGGGCAATCTGACCCACTCCTCTTGCAGTGCCACGGCCAATTCTTGCAGTGTTATTGATATTTTACTTCGACTAACTTGATGACATTCTATTGATAGAATTAAATTCATCCGTAAAAATTGCATTTTTAAGTACCAGCTGATCTAAGGTAAATCTCCATCATGGCATCTACCAACGTTTGCAACAATAATTTGACACCAAGTGATGATTTTCGGCTGAATGGTTAGCGTGTGCGCACTGCATCATAAGGTCTGTCATTGAGTCAGCTGGCGTGGTTTCGATTCCCTTGTTGTACGTAACAAGGGGTAGGGTCGCCTGTCCTGTTTCCTCCCGTTGCTAAAGACCCCTATGCGAAAGCGAATTATTGAAATACAATTAAACCATAATATGTTAGTTCCTTTCGGTATTCTCACATATCGGACTCTGACTTCCTGGATTATGGCCCCTGATTGTACGAAATTTGATTGGGCTATTATCATGGTAGTACACAATGAAAAATCACCCTGACCAAATTTTCAGTGTTCCACTATGAAAATAATACAAAATGTCAATTTCCATTATAATTGCTCAGGGGTTATTGTCAAAATCTTCAGATGGCTTGAGGTGGTGGTAAATATCCAATTTGACTGAAAATTTGTTCAGGGTGTTTTCTCATGGCGTACTACCATATGATAATAGGGCCCAATCAAATTCCAAAACTTCTTAAAATAAGGCATTACTGGCTATAAGCAACTACTGATATCAATAGTTCTTCTAGATGACATTATTACTGTGTGAGCCCTCAAAAGAAAAAGTCTTTTTAGTCCCTATTAACTATGGTTATTATAAACTATCCTATGCCTTTGAATCACCACCGTTTAAATGAAATCCATTGTACAATTAGATATTCCAATGAATAAAAACGAAACTCCTCATAAACTTTGACATCGAGAAATACCAAAATGGAAGCTAATTATGTTGCTCATCAGGATAGAACATTTCGTGCAAAATGGTGTCAGCATTTGTGTGCATTTAAACGGTTTGCGTCACTTTTACGACAATTCAAGTTTTTGTATGAATAAGCTATTACTCTCTGCTTGCTATTACAGTTAGGCCCATAGTCTTAATAGTTCTGAATTAAAGCTCTGGAAATTTTTATGACTTTAAATATCTGAATTACACCCATGGGGGTTTTTACACGGTCATTCTGGTTTGTTTGCGTAATACACGCACTGAATGGGCACTTTCAGGGATGCAGAAATATGCTGATAAATGTTACAAAAACGGTTATTTAGAGCATGAAAAATGACATCAATACCTTCAATTTTACTAGTACATGTATCCATGTAAACGGTGATATATTCATTGGGAATAAAATTTAGTAGACTGACGATCAATTGTTTCAATATAAATCTCATATTTAATAGCCTTCAATTGATATTATTACCCAAACTCAAATGATGGAAATGATCACGCTTTGTTTTGATTGTAACACATGGTTGTCAAACTTTATTCACCCCGCAATAGCTTTCATTGGTTTCATCCAATGATAAGTTCTTTGGTATCTTGGACTTATTTGAAAATACAAGTAGATAGGTTGAATATTCAAAAGCGAACTTTTTTTATTTGTTGGAATATTTAATTATACAATGGATTTTTTTGGACTGGAAGTGATCATGGGTAATTTTTTGATAACTATAGTTAAATAATTTGTTCACAAAGACAAAAAGGTGATTTTTATTTTTGACGGATCACAATTAAAGTAGTGGTTATTGTGTGTGACCATTATTTAATATTTTGCAAAAATGATTTTCATAGTTTTTGGCTATGAAATGGAATTTTCAGTTTGTTCTCTTCTGCGAGTAACAAGTGAGTTATGCAAATTCATAGTTTGACAGTGTTTAAAATCATCATATTTGTAACAGGTTTTGTCTCTTGTATTGAAAGTTATTCATTTTGAGAGATGATTGGAATATACCGCATAAGGCACACACAGATAGATTTATAGTGACATTAATTATAGAAATTGAATAATAGACATAATAATAAAGAGACACACTAATAATAAATGAAATGGGGTAATTAATGTCCTAGTTTTCTGCACCTACTGGGCTAATAAAGACAAGTCATATGCCATACAGTATGCTATCAAGGAAATTTTGAATGACAGCAATTGAATCCTGACTGTCAAAGGTTTTTTTACGCACACGTCATGGACTAATTTATAATCTGGATTTATGTTTCATTTCATCTTGTGTATGAACAGATTTTTAAAGGTGTGTAAATACTCTACAGATTTTTTTCAAATTTGCTGGAATTGTTTGGTTAATCCAAAAGAGGAATCCTATGAAGGATTTTTGCAGAATCCCTTCTCTTCTCACTTAGAAGTGATGACTTTGCTAGTTGCAAATAGGATCGAACACTGTCAAAATTCTTAATCGAGCCACAGTTTTTCACAGAATTACTGCCATTATCACTGGAACACTGTACAGGTCATAGTTTTTGTGATAATTTATTTTGCAAACATACGGTAGTAGTAGCTAATATTTAGTAGATTCAGAGTCGCCCATCAATTGTATTATTGTCACTGACCACCCTTCAAAAATTGTTAAGATGTGTTGCCTGGTTACACTGTTTTTGAAATATGTTCAGCTAGCTGACTGGTAATTTACTTTGAAGGTCACATGTCCTAAATTTTCCCCTATTCTGTAAGTCTGAACATAATGATATAAATATGTTTGTCACATTCTCAGAATGAAAAAAAATTGAAAGTCCTACTTCTCAACCTTAACGGATTATTGATAGGAGAAAGGATTTATACAGCTTTGACTTTGTCATTTGTTATCAAGTCGCAACTTGCTACTTCAAATCAACAAACAAATATTCCTAACAATTGATCTCTTATAACCAGACTTTATTTTGTTTGATTTCATGAAACAATTGTTTTTATAGGCCTACTTTTCTTAATGTCATATATAATAAACAAAGCTAGACCTACCTATGATCTTCAGTGGGTAGAGATTGTGTTTGGTTAACAAAAGCATGTCATTATTGTATTGTGTTCTAGCTTATTTTTGTAGCCATAATGAGTTTTGTAATATGACCTACCTATTACTATCTCTATTGTAAGTTTGATTTAATGAAGATAGATTGGACAGATAGCTCACACCAAGGCAAATTATTTTTAAATTTGATTAAAAGTTGTCACCTGATTACCAAAAACTTCAAATATATACATTTCTTTGTGACTGAAAAAATTTAAGATGTTAATGATAGGTATTTTGAAGTTGTAGATCTTTCTGTCAAAAAATTGTTATATTGTTCGTAGGGCTTAAAGTCCACTTCCACATAGGGTTATATTACAGACAAACTTGTTATATTTATAAACTCTTCTAAAAATACAATTGAATGCAAAACATAAAAAATGTTGAGGCATCTTGCCTCCTCCATAACGCATTAGTATGCTGTTACTGTAAATCAGTGTCCAAAATAAGATTAGACTAAAGATTTCACTACAAATTTGGTACTCACAATTATGCAAAAGGTAGCTGGGATTTTCCTGCCTGGTTTCTGTGTAGTAGGATGGAGGACCTGGCAAGGAAAGCGTGTATAGTCATTTAATGGGACGAAAAGCCGAGGGTTACTCATGGGCACGCATGCACTATAGTCCTTGAATGTTTCTATATATTTTGTCTGTTAATGAATGTTTCTATATATTTTAACTGTTTAATGAATGTTTCTATATATTTTAACTGTTAAATGAATGTTTCTATATATTACAGAGTATATCAAGAACTAGCTACTCTAGGATTATATTTATTTAATGATGCTCTGGTCATTACAAGAAGAACCTCACAATATTTTCCTTTCACCAGAGCTGTAGATTATTCATATAAATTTGAAGTCAGTTTAGCTTTAAATCGTCTACGTGTGGTGGATATTCCAGACTCAAAATGTAAGTGAAATGAATTTATTATCCCGCGGCAAACAAAGTTAAGGAGGGATATTGAAATGGTTTCTGCCCGTCTGGCCGGCTGTCTTTTCGTCTGTCCTGATTTAGTTTTCGGAGCATATCTCATAAACCATTCAAGATATCTTCATGAAACTTTGTACAAACATCAACCTATTATAGTTGTTATGTCTTTTGCTATTTAGGAATTTCTGGGATTTATAGTTTCGGTGTTTCCATGGAAACAAATGAGACTTAGTTTTTGGTGTAAATTTATGTTTCCAGAGCATATCTCTTAAACCATTCAAGATATCTTTTTGAAACTTTGTACACAAATCAACAATTATATAGAGTAGTTGTGCCTTATGATATTTTGAAATTTCTTGGATTTATATTTTTTGTGTTTCCATGGAAACAAATTTAACTTAGTTTTTGGTGTATGATTTTGTTTCCGGAGCATATCTCATAAACCATTCAAGATATCTTTTTGAAACTTTGCACACACGTCAACCTATTACAGTAGTTGTGCCTTTTGCTATATTCAAGATATCATCATGCAACTTTGCACAAACATCAATCGGTGATAGTAGTTGTACCTTTTGCTAATTAGAAATTTTTGTGTTTTCATGGAAACAAATTTCTCTGTTGAATGATTTTTGAATTTTTACTACACATTTTCATGTTGACGTATATTGTCATCGCCCTTCTCTGTCCACAATTTGTTTGTGGACACACTACGGGTCACAGTTTTTATTCGATTTTGACAAAACTTAAAATATAGGTCTATCTCCCAAAGATCTCGGTTCCTTTTGTTATTAGCATATATCGGACCATAACTTCATGGATTATTGCCCCTGATTGTCGAAAAATCACATTTTTAGCTTGTGGACGCTCTAGAGGTCACAATTTTCATCTGATTTTGATGAAACTTGAAATACATGTTTATATCCCAAAGATCTTGGTTCCTGTCGATATTTGCACATATCTGATCACAACTTCCTGATTGTACGAAAAATCACGTTTTTAGCTTGTGGTTCCGCTAGAGGTCACAATTATCATCTGAGGCTGACCTTAAAAATATCTTTGTTTCGCCTAACGCGACCGACTAACTAAAACCACCCCCGACTTAAATTATTTTATTGCACTTTTCCGCGATCTTTTTATTTTATTTTGTGTGTCAACCTGAAATATATCACGAGAGTTATTTCCCTTTACTATGGCTATGGTTTGATTCATTATTGAAACTGGTTGATCAAGACGAAAGCGTCATAGGTGTCGCTTCTCAACAAAATGGTTGCAGACGAAAGCACGTCCATTCCCACGAAATGATTCTGCCTCTATGTCTGTGGGGCGTCGTTTTAAACATGACGACGATATTTTCAATATCCGTTTTCGAGAAAAATAAAGGCACAACCCGCACGATCGTTAAAAACGTGTTGAGGGAGTTTCAAACGTGAGTTTGTCGCAATTTGTGTGCGAGTCGTGCATCAAGAAAAATCCCGATGTCATTGATTTGTTTGCCAATAAAATAAGACGAATGTTTGCACCCGGAAAATTATCAAGCTGTCAAATTAGCTCTTAAAAAAAAAAATCTGAAAAAGCACGAAAGCACGTCCATTCCCACGAAATGATTCTGCCTCTATGTCTGTGGGGCGTCGTTTTAAACATGACGACGATATTTTCAATATCCGTTTTCGAGAAAAATAAAGGCACAACCCGCACGATCGTTAAAAACGTGTTGAGGGAGTTTCAAACGTGAGTTTGTCGCAATTTGTGTGCGAGTCGTGCATCAAGAAAAATCCCGATGTCATTGATTTGTTTGCCAATAAAATAAGACGAATGTTTGCACCCGGAAAATTATCAAGCTGTCAAATTAGCTCTTAAAAAAAAAAAATCTGAAAAAAAACCCGACCTACCGACCCTTCTCCTCGATTGTGGGTCGGGTTTGGTGAAACAAAGATATTTTTAAGGTCAGCCTGATTTAAAAAACACGTTTGAATATATCATCGTTACACCCTAATGATGGTTGAGTTTGAATTTCGTGAAAATCGGACCAAAAAATCGCTTATTTTTAGCTTGTTCTCCATCCATCTTTTGCAAAATGTGGGCGTATCCTGCATGGCAGCCGCTGGTTCTAGTAAAATTGGATATTTCTACTTTCCATATATACCAAAATTGCCATACTTTTATTGGAAATAACCACCCGATAAATACTTTTCTGGAAACATAGCTTTAATTTCTGATGACCGTCCTTCCATCCTGATTTCATTTCCTGAGCATATTTCATTATCCTTTCAAGAAATCTTTTTGAAACTTTGTACAATTATCAACTTATTATAGTAATTAGTTTTCTGATCAGAATATGAATCTTCTGACTACTCCCATTGATATTCCAAAAAGTTGTTTTTCGTTATGCCTTCCAAACAAGTGCAAGGGTGTGGAATAGTGATGACTAGTCATCTTGTAGTACATTGAAAGTCTGTCATGTAAAATCAAAATTTACACTTCAGACAGCATTGATTTGAATTTTTATTGCAAACACATGCCAGAAAACCTGACCTGTTAGATGATGCCTTATCTAATAGATTTATTTCATGAATTTTTAGACATATGACTTCATACATGTATTAATCAATTAAATCAATACAATTAATCAGTTATTTATATGCTAGTATAGGAATAAATCCAATACCCAGCCATATTACTAAACGAGTTAAGGAAACATTCAGTGACATGTTAAAATATGACTTTTTTTTTTGTTACATCATTTGAGAATTTTGCTCAAGTGCAGGGAGTTCTATAACCGCTAGGTTCTTCAATAACTAATAAGTCTGGAATGGTTCTTCAATCTTTTAATTACTGGAACTTATCTCTTACAAATGACAATAATTCAATACATACAATGTACACTTGCAGCACAGTGGATGACCGACGTAGCTGCAACTAAGTCGGGTGACCTAATGACTTGCCTATTGATGTACATTAGCCTTTTTATATTCTAACTATAATTGGATAAGCTCAAGTGTTGACATCAGAACATACTATACAGGATTATCACTAGAGACATTAACATAAATAAACAATAATGGATTAAATACTTAACTTATTAGCTTCTATCCTGATTTATATTAACCATGAGAATTCAAATACTATCTAAAACTGACTGGTCATTAGGCTTGGTCATAATTCATGCATAAGTAAATCTAATTTTAGGGAATCTTCTGTTAAAAAACAAGCAAGACACCTTTGCCGCATCACTTGAGAAGTTTTCTGAAAGTGCATAAATAAATCTAGAGACTTTTTAACATATTAGATTGCTATAACTTAATTTAATATTGAGTACATTTTAAAAGTATATATGCCTTTTGGTAGTGTGTATGATCCATTGCCATTGTCATTTATTCTGGAATATTGGGTCTTTTGGCCAAATTGAAAATTTTCAAAAACTTTTACTGAAACATTTATTATTAACTTGCAAGTATAAGACAGTAATTGATTATTCAGAGTGTTTCTTTTCAATTAAAGAAACCGGTACAAACCAACTAGATAGTTTTCATAGTATTGACCACTGATTAATTCCCCTGTTTATTTTAGGTCAAAAGGCCAATATAACAAGATGGGGGAACCTATGTCTCAATGGGATCTCACTTTATTTAATCAACAAATGTTGATTTTCATCAATTTTCATTTGTAAATTGGTTATAGATTGAAGTGGTCTGTATTAGGAAGGTGAAAGGTCAGATGTACAAGAAGTATAAAATTGTTAAATTATTAATCTCTTATACTCAGGTTTATTTGAAATACATTCAGTTTTTGATTAAGGATGCTAAATGTTGTCATTCTTCACAGAACATGGTGGGTGTGGTGTATGAGGAAGGATATACTTATTCTTGATGTGTGTGTGTGGCTCATGGGAGATAAACAGGTTTCTTAATAAAAGTCTAAGATGCTGTTCATGTTATCTACTGGAAATTATGTTTTCAGCCCCATCGTATGATTTCTAAAATCTTATCCAGTACTTATTTGACTGGAAGGCAGGTTATCCAGAAATGTGACATACCTTGTGTAACAGTTTTATATGTGTGTATAATAAGAATAGTAAACTATTAGAACAAATATCAATCTTACAAAATAGCAACATTTGGTTTTAGAAAAGTTGATAATCTAAATATTGCTAAAGTCATAATGTAATGCCATATATATCTCACCTTAATTATGTGAATTAACATTCTTTTACCTTGAAAGGAATAATTAAACCTAATTCAGAGCTCACAGCTTTGTAGTCTCTAATTTCCAGCTATTACCTCAAGTTATTTTAAGTGAATGCAAATGAGATTACTCCCAAATCAATGATGTCGGAATGATTCAAATTTTCCCAATAATTGTGTGATACATATTATGGGAAAAAATGGAACATTTTAAATTCAGCATTCTTCAAACAATTTACATTCTGGTGTAACGGAAATATAAGAACATAAAACTAGATACATTGATTTTTACATTGTTGTCTGTGAGAAACTGGTAGGGATCATTATATATACTGTATTGTTCTCAATGATATCCAACTGTCAGTGATAGTCTTATTAAAGCATTCAACTGACAAATAGGTATAATCTTGTCAGTCATCGATTCCTTATTAACCTAATACTAGCCAACTAATAGGTCATGTAGGATGACCTCTTAACACAGCTATTTTATATTAATCTCAAATATTTCCAGAATGAAAAGCTTTTTATTGTTCAGTGTGGATTTTTGATGAAAATTACAGATTGGCCTTCGATCCTATTAGGAAGAATTGTGTGTTAAAAATTCTTATTTAACACTGACTTCCACAATGAAGTGATTATGTCGTAGGACAATTAGTCTGATGGAGTGGTCATAGTACATTCTTCATCTCTTTTTTTTATACGCCCACATTTTCATGTGGATGTATATTGTCGTCGCCCCTGTCCGTGCGAACGTCCACAATTGTTTGTGGACACTCTACAGGTCACAATTTTTATCCG